TGTTAGGCTTTCAAGGCTGCCAAGAGCTTCAGACAACAGGATTTACCACGACTTCCCAGCAATTCCATATTGAAGCAAACTGTCCCTCCACTAAGCAATCTGTTACCTTTTAAAGAAATACACATTTAGTCCAGTTAAAGCTGATCTGACATGCAACACAAGAAACCCACAGGTTGCACAAGAGCTACTTTGGGCGCCATGTTTTGGGTCATATATACAAATACACATTTTTGAAAAAATATATAAATGTACTTATAACATGTGAAGAGGAAGGTGCTTTATTTGACAATACTGCCTGCTGGTCTTTAACCCCTTCATGACAGCTAGTTTTCAGTTTCTGCTCATAAATGACTGACACTTTACATTTTTGCTGTGTGATTCTTCCACAGCAGTAATATACTTTCTTACTAATGTACCCACACATATTATTTATTGGTTTTTTTTAGAGGACAGATAGGGTTATATAATTATATCACATGTGTACCTAACCACTCAGTTTGAATAAAAAAATAAGAAAACTTCACAAGTTTTGATTATTATTTTTAAAATGTTTAATACATTATAGTATAATATATTTATATCATTTTTATTTTTCTAATTTTTTTACACTTTTGTAAAAAAAAAAATGTTTTTCTTCTTGTCAGTTTATATCAAGCAGTCACTATGACTGCTTGATAAATTAAACTTTTTATTTTTGGCTATTCGGCTGCTCCAAACAGCTAATAACCTTTGAGACTGATCTTGACTTTAGTCAGATTCAGATCTCCCTAAAAGCTCTTTGATCGTGCCTAGACGATCAGAACCGATACATTTCACTAAAAAGATATACATTGTATATTTTTAGTGAAATGTATCTAAATATCGTGCTCTCAAGATGTCAAAACAAATAGCAGAGAGGTGAGTCACTGCTACCTCTCTGCTATTTTCAGCTGTCAAATACAGGATCGCAAATTGCGGTCCCGTATTTGCATGTAACGGCTTCATTCTTTCATTAATGAAAGGAAGCAGCTTTTACAAAAAGCTCATTTCATTAATTAATGCCTCAATACTGAGGCATTCATTAATGACTGGTAACCGATGAGAATCAGCAGTTACCGGCATTACAGAGCCGCAAATAACTGGTCACGTACAGTGTACGTGGCCAGTCATATTAGGCACAAAGTACCGGGACGTACACTGTACATCTCCCGTCACGAAGGGGTTAAACTGAACTGCCTCAATAACAGATTAAAATGAACCTGTGCTCAGACTATGCACATTAAAGTATTCACCAGTACTGCCTGTACACTCCCTGCTGCTGATCTTCCACACCACAATACTGACTTTTACCATGCCATGTGATGTGATGTTTGTGGGTGCAGTTATCTTGGTAAAGAAACAGGGATTTGCTTTCTCATGTCAAAGCTATCCCTTGATGACTGATGGGGTCATGACTATGCAGCAGAAAAATCAAGGCACAGACTGAATGAAGCAGAAAGAGGGAGGAAATGCATGCAGTAGAGATCCCTCCCCAGCACAATGACCTAACCAAATGTCACTTCAAATCTCATGAGATTAGCAGTCTCATGAAGCAGTGTCTCACAAAGCAGATCTACAGCTATAAGGCTGCAGACAACAACGTCTAGGCACCATCACTTGCCAGAAAAAGCACTTGAGTAGGGCTGCAACAACTAATCGACATAATCGATTATAATCTATTGAAAAAGTTGTCAACTTTTTCAATAATCGATTAATCGGGTTCCGATTGGTTGGCCCTGTTCACGGCTCCACACATGCTGCGCGCCACACCACCTCACGCTCGCCGCTGCCAGACCCGCCTGGCCGCATCCACAAGCAGCACCTCCTCCTCCGCCTCACACTCACCGCCAGTGCCATTCTTCATCATTGCTGTATAATTTTACACTTTCCATTTCACTATATTGCACACCACAGTTTTTTTTCTTTTCTTTTTTACCTCCACCGCTCCAAGCTTGCTCCTGTGATGGACTGCAATCTCAATACAAATAACAAACTAGTAGTCCCATCACTGGAGCCATTTTTTAAAATTGATTTAATTTTTTATCCGATTAACCGATTAATCGAACTTAATAATCGGCTAACTAATCGATTTTGAAAATAATCGTTAGCTGCAGCTCTACACTTGAGTAACAAGACAAAAGTTCACAATTAACATTTCTAGATGTTCCCAAGTCTTTAGGTCCTCGACAACCCTATCACTCAAAATTCACAACAGAGGAACTGAAAGTCTCATCTCCTGCCTCATTTTTATACAGCAGCCCATCAGCTCTCTAATGTAAACAGCAGGGGCTTTAAGGGTTTAAAACAATAGAAAAACAAAACAATTTCTGCTGAAATGTTTGACCAATTACTTCACAGTACATGCAGCTACAGAGGTAAACAAGGCTTTGACTACTTTAAGAATCTATAAACTTTGATATTGTGGGCATGGGAGCTGAAAATTGAACTCATACATGCATCAGTGGCTGTTCAAAGATAACCAGAGGAAGATGGCAAGGACTGAAAAATGCAACAAGGTGGCTTATCAGTAGTAGAGGGCATACTAAGCAGGTGTCATAATGGACAAGAATGCTATGAATCCTTGCACAATGTGTCAACTACCTCAGGGACCCACAGAAGATTTAGTTCTGCAATAAAGTGCTGTCTGGTTCATATTTGCTCCCCCATAATGGTTTCCTCAACAGTCATTAGGTTTTAGTCCTCATTCACACCGAGCATATAGTAGTGATTTTTGTTGTATTTTTTTTTAAGAGCAGGGGGAAAAAAAAAACCCCCACTCCAAATTTACTTACATTCATCATAAAAGCCATAGATTCTGTTAATGCTAGCACACTCATGATTTCCCCGAAGAAGAAAGAAATTCTCTGGATATTTTATTTTGTATGCCAAAAGGAGACAAATTGTTTCCAAGGACTGTTTCCCTCGATCCACATAGTCACCGAGAAACAAGTAGTTGCTTTCTGGGGGAAATCCACCGTATTCAAAGAGACGTAGTAGATCATAATATTGTCCATGAATATCACCTGCAAAGATGAAATACTATAGAATAAGAGGTGTAGGCTTAAGATTTAAAATAAAACAAATTACAAATTCCTTAAAGCCTAAAAATGTATCTTTAACCCCTTCATGACTGAGGCCTTTTTTTCATTTTTTGTACCCATGTTATATTCCAAGAGAAATAATTGGTAACAGAACATGCAGTAAAGAACAGAACAGGTTTCAGTTGTAAAATAAAAAACAGAACACAGCAGATAGCAGGAACCACGAAGAGTACTTTTGTAATACAGTGGACGGGTGCAATAGCCAGTCTGCTATTGCAGTTTCAAATATCCAATAGCAAGCTGGATATTGTTCAGTCGCTGGAGTTTTGACACTGGTTTTCTACCGCCGGCAGAAGAGGTATGGGGGAGCAGCAGAGGTACACGGGGCACCCGTGTCCCCGCTGCCTCTGCCAATACAAGAGGTAAGAGCAGCAGGGATTTAAGGGGACAGACCGCTGCAGAAAAAACACAAGCGGGGAGGAGCATTGAGAAGCAGAGCAGCAACTAATCGATAATGAGAATTGACAACGATTCTCATTGATTGGTTGTTGCAGCACTAGTTCTCTTTAAGACTCTTACTTGACTAAAGTATAGAAATCCATTCTTTGTGAATTTGCTCTTTATACAACATAGAAACATACATACATAATAAAAACTTACCACAAATTTTAAGAGGTGCTTCAAGTTCCAATAAAATTGGCTGGCTGAGAAAGATTTCTCGAGACTTTAGACATAATCCTCTAATTTCATTTTCTTGAAGTTGAACATTTTTTCCAGGCTTCGATCCTCTTACTAGAAAAGAAAGCAATACAATTTATTGCAAAAGCTAAACTCTGAACTTCAATACAGAAACTAAACATTGCACTATTGAAAAAGTTGTCAACTTTTTAAATCGATTAATCGGCTTCCGATTGGTTGGCCCTGTTCACGGCTCCACACACGCTGCGCGCCACACCTCCTCCTCCCCACCTCACGCTCGCTGGTGCCAGACCCGCCCGGCCGCATCCACGCGCCGCACCACCTCATGCTCACCGCCCGCAGGCCCGATCTCAGAAACAAGTTGCTGGAAGACTGCTCAGGTAAGCCTGCACTTTCCCACACATGGTGCTCTATAATGTATTGCTGGGATAGTGGGATTTGTAGTCCTCTATAGCTGATGGTACATTGCGCTGTACTGTATATTATACAGAGCACTATACCATTAGCTATAGAGGAATACAAATCCCAGCAATACATTATCACTATATGTATAATGTATTGCTGGGATTTGTTGTACTCCTATATAGCTGGTGGTATTCTGCATTGCGCTGTATAGAGGACTACAAATCAAGGAATAATACAGCGCAATACCCCCAGCTACAGAGGAGTACAACAAATCCCGGCAATAATACATTATACAATGCAATGCAGAATACCACCAGATATATAGAGGGCTACAAAACCAAGCAATAGCACATTATACAGCGCAATGCAGAATACCGCCAGCTATAATGTACTATTGCTGGGATTTGTTGTATTGCTCTATAGCTGGTGGTATTCTGCATTGTGCTGTATAATGTATTATTGCTGGGTTTTGTAGTCCTCTATAGCCAGTGCCATTCTGCATTCATTGCTGTATAATTTTACACTTTTCATTTCACTATATTGCACACCACACTTTTTTCTTTTTACTTCCACCGCTCCAAGCTTGCTCCTGTGATGGACTGCAATCTCAATACAAACTGGTAGTCCCATCACTGGAGCCATTTAACATTTTTTTTTTATCCGATTAATCGAAAATCATAAATTGGCTAACTAATCAATTTTGAAAATAGTTAGCTGCAGCTCTACCAAATTCTAATTGCTACAAGACAGGAGTGCCCTCAATCCCTGATAAAAGTTTCCTACTACTGCTGGAGGTCTAAAGGGGAGAAAATCCTAACAACTGGAATTCAGGTTCTTCCCCTGGCAAGAGAACGCCATCCATTATTTGGCTTACAAGTTTACCATTCATTTCTGACTGGTGGAATTTCCCACCTCTACTGAAGTCCATACATTTAAAAAAAAAAAACAATTATTGTACAGGACTGAGATGGGGCCCTTTACTTGACTGGTAATACAAATAACACGAAAATCTTTCGCCTTCAAATGTTCCCGAGTTGCCAAAGCACTTCTTCCTTTAGGTCCACAGGTCACAGCTAGCCATCTCCATACTGATCACTTGTACTTCTCCATTTTAGTCATATTGAGAATCTGGGACCGGCTCAATATTAATTGGAGCTAGCACATTTACCGTTGGCACCATTAGATGGATTCCTGTGGTTTGTTCCTTGGAAAATAGGTATGGGATTGTTCAAAAATCCACTGCAGGGGTGTGAAAATGTAAGTGTTATTAAATTTGAAGAGGTAAACATTTTTTTATTGCATCTAATTTTTTCTCTCACTTCACCAATATCACACAGGGCTAACAAGCCCCTATGCAATATCATTCCGCGGCGACATGCTCTTTATGAAGCCAGACCTCCAATGCAGAAGATCAAGTACAGCATTGTGCTGGATCTTCTGTAAAACTCCACGTGACAGCTGACAGAAGATCAGAGAACAGATGTTCTCCAATCTGCTCCCCATCCTGTAATTATTGCTCTGGTCCCAGGTCCCCCAGAAGCCCAAAAGCCACGGCGGGAAGGGGGTTCAGGAACAACTAGACGAGCAGGCTACTCTACAAGTGATCCAGGCGGATCACCTGTACAAAAACAAGTGCAGACTTCCCCCGCTGTACATTTGGCCCTGCTTGCCCATAGGAGGGCAAGTCCCAGGCGTCAGGTGATAGTAAGTCCACATCCCTGCATTGTGGTAGACATGGTACAAATGGCAAACTAATCCCTAGGCCAATTAGGGGAAGACATGGGAATCATTCCTTTGGATGCTTGAAGTGGGGGGGGTTTGATGACAAAAGGCAACAGCAGACGTGAAAAATCTTTTCATGAGGGATTTAAAGCCTTGTGCTCTTATAAACTTCTATTATGTCTAGAGTCAAAGACCTAGTTTTTGTAAGAGAGTGGAAAATATCTTTGTACTGTATTATGGATACCTCAACTCTACCGAGATAATTCTGGCCAGAACGCACTGCATCGCATTGAGGCCGGATCACTTTTTTGCAGGGCAGGAGAGGGCATGGTGTGCCATTGAAGTGAATGGCACGGTAGCATGCGGTCCTGTACGATCGCATTGCGGCTGGAGGATGTGGCTACCGTGCCATTCACTTCAATGGACCACAACGCCCCCTGCTGCCCCGCAAAAAAGTGAGCTGGCTGCAATGCGATGCAGTGCGTTCTGACCAGAATCTGGCCGGAACGCACTGCCTCTGGTGTGAACCTAGCCTTAGGCCTAGAGAGTGGACCATCAGGCTCAACCACTTGTGACAGGAATAAAATTCAATAAAAAAAATATAATAAGTCAGAGCTACTAGTTTTGTGAAATGCAAGCATTTATAGCGACTGCTTTTTGGTCCTATGTCAGATTTTCCCATCACTGGGAGGCAAAATTCACACGTTAGATTGCTCACCCACTAATAGGGAATGAGCTAGGATTAGGCCATCATGAGACAGGTAAGTGTTAACCTACGGATGAGGTGTTGTCACAATCATAATCCTGCTCAGTACAGGAGGAAACACCAGTTCAGACTTCTGATGCATGTGTTTGGCTGGAAGAGCCAGTGGGGCAAAGCTACAATCTGTGGGATTTGGGATTATGACTGAAAGCCTCCAAAATCAGAATCCCCCATGTGATAAAGTTAAGTGGAAAAAAAACAACAACTTTAAAGTAACACATTAAAAAAATTTTTTTTTAAAGTCCGCACCCATACGTGCAAATGCGCGTTGTGTGCACATAGGTGCAAAGACGATTGCGCCCATTACATATCACCACAAACGTTAGTGAGCAATAATTCTAGGCCCATCAGTCACTGATCACACTAACCGGAGGAGTGGTAAAAGCTTTTTAAAGTGTCACCTAAGGTCAATTTTGAGTATGGTAGTGTCTTGCAATTTCACGGATGCGCGCAATTTTAAAGCTTGACATGTTTGGTGTCTATTTACCCAAGGTGACCGCGTCTTATATTTTACCAAAACAATTGGGTAATAATTGTATTATAACAATGTAAATATTTAACATTCAATAATTTTATCTTAATATAGTAAAAACCCCAGGGGTGATTAAATACCACCAAAAGAAAGCATGAAAATAATCGTTAGCTGCAGCTCTAATTTCAATACAGCGTTGCATGACAGAATAAATGTCAAAAGTACTGCAGTGCTGAATTCAAAAATATGGACTGGCCAGGAAGGGGGTGTAAACACATGGTCTTTTAGTGGTTAATAATTGTTCACTCCTAAAAAGGTGTGAACGGTGGGCTTTAAAGGTTTAAACGGTGGGCATTGAATTTACTAAAACCACGCCATTTCTTTTGCAGTTTTAATTAGGGATGCACTGACACCGAGTATTTTGGTGAGTACTCGTCCAAATGCTCCGATACCGGAACTTCCAGTCAGAGAAAGATTTTCGCTGGCTGGCATTGCCGTGGTTGAACATGGAGCTGGCTCCCCAGGCAATCAGGAAGCTGGGTGGCGAGTAATGACTGTCCTCCTGGGTTCCTGATTGGCTGAGTAGCCGAATTACCAGCCAATCAGAATCCACAGCATTTACAGTTGCTTCCATTTACGTTTTATAGGTCCAAAATGTTTGATTCTGCCCCAAAAGGTTACGTCCTCTGAGCCTCAGCTGTTTCGTCACAAGCAACAGAACCTTGAGATATGAAGAGGGGCCATTAAAACAAATGTATCACTCATGTTGAGCATGATAGTTCTGAAGCATTAAAACCAGAAAATGCTCAGGGGTGAATGTGACTTAAAGCATAATGTAGATTCTCAACTTTTTGCTGTCCATGTGCCTATGGGAAGAATTTTCCCCACTTTCCATTTAAAGTAAACAGGAAGGGAGAGGTGATTTCTCCAAAGGGAAGGAAACCCCAGGCAGCTGTCCCTGAAACAGGAAGAGGGTAAATCTCAACAGTATACCAAGCATAACAAATATACTGGGAGGAACTTATGAAAACTGGAGCAGCCCAAATATGGAGCAGTTACCAAGGGCAACCAATCTGCTTTTCTCTTCAGTTTGTTCTGTTAAGATTTGAAAATTAAATAGAAGCGGATTGTTCCCATGCAAAGCTGCTCCAGATTGTCTGCTCCAGTTTTTATAAATTCCCCATCAGTGTATTTTCAGAACGTAAGAGTTACTGAATTGTTTACCCTAGCCATTTCTCATGCGATTATGTCAGGCTTGCTCTTCCATATTTCAGTTACTATATAAAAAGACAGTTTATATTGGCCACTACCATGGTTTTTAGAATATTATTCATGGGCTCGACAAGTCTCTGTAGCCAGTGCACCTTAAAATTTAATGATGGCATCTAAAGCTGGGTATACACAGTTATATATTTATTCAACCTGCAAAAAAAAAAAAAAAAAAAGGATTCCCCATTTTCGCTGATTACCTGATGTGCAGTTTGTTTCTTTGAGAAAAGTCAATCGAATGATTGACTTGTGTCAAGGGGATGGGGTTACCAGCAGGTCAAATTCCAGCCGATTCTGGCTGATAAACGGAATTTGCTTAGTGTGTATCCAGCTTCAGACCTGGTTCACATCTGCACATCCCGGGAATGTGTCCTGCACCATTTTGTGCAACGCGTTTTTTTTCTGCCGTGCGACTTGCTGGCTGCATTTGGGGTGCCATTGGAAATGAATGGCCCCACAAGC